ATCATTTTTAATACCGGAAATTCTGCTTTTTAAACCTTGAAACTACAGACGAAGGCTGAGAATCGTAAAGGTAATACAGGTTTAGTTTTTAATTAGTGCTGTGCCAGACGTAACATTTTTGGATTTGGCATGCACAGGCAAATTGTGGGAACTACTGTAAATAAAGTTGTTTGGTAGGCCTACCATTATCTGTTCTTGGTAGAAGGAGGGAGGGACGGGGGCATTATGTGACCCATTCTACCTACCATGGACTCTGTGTTTCTTCGTCTGATGTTGAAGTTTTTGTTTGTCTCCTTAGTGTAGGTCATGTCACATTTATAGGAGGTCTGCTGGGCTAGGTTTTGGGGTCTGAATTACCCTAGGCTGTTACAGATCTGTTGATGTGGGCCACTGTCATCCAGGATGTGCTGGGAATGATGAGAGCTACCCTGTGTTGGGGCGTGTAGTGGGTGAGGTAAGCCTGGTGGGTTCGACCTTGGGTGTAGGGGGCTCTTTGGTTGATGAAAGACGATGGATCTTGTGTCTTGACCTGATGCGTCCTGATTCTGTTTGTGCTATAATGCTGTCTTGGCACATTGGAGTGTGTTACTGGCGAAGACCTTGCCTGATGCAGGCTTGCTGGACACGGTTGCTGATGGTAGGTGACTCGATGTGTTCGCTAAAACCGCAGAAATTCCAGAGTCCGCCCAATTAATCAATCTGTCCACTGGAAGGGGGACAGTAGGAGGCAGGTGGGTGGGAGTTTTGTGAATCCAGTCCCGAGGGAAGGTTTTATGTTCATGAAGGGAGTTGTCTTCTTGTAATCTTCCTTGGATATGGGACAGACTTCACTCATGGGGATGACGGTGAATACCAGCTGTTTCTTAGGCAGTGGACTGCATTGAGATTGTTCATGGTGCTGTTGGGATATCGTGTGATGTTCTGGTTCATTGCATGGGCTCTTGTATGTCATCATCCTAACATCATCCTTCTAACACTAACACTGCATGACTGGGTCTCTTTCCTCACTAACTTGCATGTATCATTTACATCACTTACATCACTTATCACTGACATTATCCATATTAATAACATGGCACGGTATTGCAACAGTAACATGAGTAATTTCAATGCAGTCTTGGTATTCACTGGCATCCCCGTGGGTGGGGCCTGTTTCATCGCCAGGGGATGAAGACTTGATGACAACTCCCTTTGTGAATGTGGAACCTTCCCTTTGAACTGGATCCTCCCATTCACCCAAATCTTACTGTCCCCCATTCACTGGACAAAACAATTTTTTGGGCAACCTCTGGAATTTCCCCGGGGCGGTTCCAGCAGATATCATCACGTCGGAGAGTTTTTTGGGCATCACTGCTTTTGTGGATTTGAGAGTAACAGATTGTTTTCGGTACAAGGATGACATTTTCTTTGCTTCATCACACGGCACAAGATTTCCAGCAATTCCCAAGATACTTTAGCTGGGAACATAGCAGCATCTGGCTCACCATGGATCACTTTCAGAATTGTTGAGTGTTCTTCCCAGACGTCAAGGCCCTTACACAGTCTGGCGGCACCCTCAGTCTCTTTGTTTGCCAGAGATCCACATACATAGATGGCATCTCCACGACCAATTCATCCTGTACCTTGGGATCGACTTACCTGTCATCGGTACCTGTGTTCCGTGGGTCTGCATAAGTGACTAAGGTTTTCTCTGCTAACAACTTCATTATATCGGGGCAACATTCCAGCACAACTTATTCATGGCACATCAAGTTGAGACACAGATCCTGACTCTTTCATCAGCTGAAGAGACTCGTACACTCAAGGTCTACCCATCAGGTTTGCCTTGCCTACTACACTTCCCTTCACATGGGGCTCTTGTCATTTCCAGTGCATCCTGGGTGGCAGTGTTCCACACCAACAAATTCTGCAACATCCTGGGGCATGCAAGACCTCAAGACTGAACCTGGTAGATCACCTGTGAATGTGGCAGGCCTATGCTTGGGAGACTAACAGGGACCTTGGCATCAGGCTGAATGAACACNAAAATGCCCACGCTTGCCTTTTTATTGCCAATCGATATTGCCATATTTTATTGCCATTCCTTGCCAAAATGCCCACTCTTGCCTGTTTTTATTGCCAATTGATCTTGCCATCTGTTGCCCATTTCTTGCCAAAGGCCCACACTTGCCCGTTCTTATTGCCAATAAATCTTGCCATATCTTATTGCCATTCCTTGCCAAAATGCCCACTCTTGCCTGTTTGTGTTGCCAATTGATCTTGCCATCTTTTGCCCCTTTCTTGCCAAAAGCCCACTCTTGCTTTTTTAACTTGCCAACTGATCTTGCCTTAGGTTATGCTGCTTCTTGCCAAAAGCCCACTCTTGCCTTTTTAACATGCCAATTGATCTTGCCTTTGATCTTATGCCACTTCTTACCAAAAGCCCTTTCTTGCCTTTTTAACTTGCCAACTGATCTTGCCGTAGGTTATGCTACTTCTTACCAAAAGCCCGTTCTTGCCTTTTTAACTTGCCAACTGATCTTGCCGTAGGGTTGCTGCTTCTTGCCAAAAGCCCACTCTTGCCTGTTTTTATTGCCAATCGATCTTGCCATATTTTATTGCCATTCCTTGCCAAAATGCCCACTCTTGCCTGTTCTTATTGCCAATAAATCTTGCCATATGTTGCCCCTTTCTTGCCAAAAGCCCACTCTTGCCTTTTTAACATGCCAATTGATCTTGCCATAGGTTATGCCACTTCGTACCAAAAGCCTGTTCTTGCCTTTTTAACTTGCCAACTGATTTTGCCGTAGGTTTTGCCGCTTCTTGCCAAAAGCCCACTCTTGCCTGTTCCCAGGTTTGGTTTTCTTTCTCTGTCAACTTTTATGTAATATTCAAATAAGTTTCATGTTAGCCCGCAAGAAAGTACATATTTCCAAACTAATTTGGAGAGGTCACCTGATCACGAAACAGTTTTGTTATGATCTGTGCAATGTCTTAACCCTATGTTATTCTTTGAAAGATGTGGTATATTTCAATGGCATAATGTTCAGATGCACCCTAAGGTGAATGCGAGATGTATTGATTCGTGATAATCATTTGAACAAAATATGTACTTTATTTCTAAATGTAATCTCATGTTTTGCACTAAGTGATATCACAGCAGGCTTTTATGCACAGCAGCCAAGGTAAAGCTGGTCCACGACCTCGGAATTTCTTGGACTTTGTGCGGCCTCTGCCAAACAAACATGACAAATGGATGAATACCGGTAGGGATGGCTGAAGGTAGTGACTTGAGGAACGTGTGGCGGCTTATTAGTCAATCAGCTGTCTGTGAGAGGCAGACTGCCTAATTGTTTTCACACATCCTATGACAGCGAACTGTTTAAATTTAAGATCCAGTCCATCAGTCTGTGTTAGAGAAAGATTATTGTTCCTCATCTGGGAAACCAATTCGTTGTCACCGATCAGGGGTCATCATTAACCACTAACAGCAAAGATGGTTGTAGATTCAGCTCAGGTATTGAGCAGCTGCAGCCTCGATCCTGACTTAGTTAACAGAGGAGTGATGGAAAAAGACAAGGAGCAGCAGAGATCCAGATCTCCATGGATATATTGACCCAAGCTCATGCAGTCTTGGCTTGCTGCTTTTCAGTATTCAAGGTAAGGCACATCTGCTGTTTCCTTTTCACGATTTTCAACCCTTTCATCAAAGATTATGATGGACGGATGCAACAGATATTTTCTGAGCGTATGCATGTGACTTACTTATATGCTATGTACATGTATGTCCAATACAAGATTGAGTTGCATTACTGGATTTAACCTTCCCATTATGCTATCCAAATTGAGTATCTGATGTAAATGGACGTGTTGGCTAAAAATACTGAACAGGCTTTCATAAGCTCGAGGCCTACCTTCCGAAAATTGTACCACAACAGGACTGCTTCAAGCCTTCATGTATGGGCACCAGTATACACATGTACCGGTACTTGTACGAGTACATGAGTCTCTAAGGTTTTACAGTGATAAAGCTGGTTTTGCGACAGACGCTATTTTTGAACATCAGTTGGAAGGGAAAGTATTGTAATCTCTACAATACAGAATTACTTGCTGTAAGAACTCTCAGTGATCAAGGCTACTTAGTGCGTTTACCTCTATCCTTACAAAAACGCCTGGGCTAATGTACATGTATGCCAGTACATGTACGTGTACAAAAAATAATAGTAAAATCCTCATCCTTCTAATTACTGCTTAAAACCTGGTTCATCTATTGCATCCTTTGTTTTTTTCTGCAGTGAAGTCTTTCATGCACTCTCCATTTTGATCATATGCCATTTACAGTACTTTTGTATCAATCAACTTCAACTACATGTATGAGACCATGCCCAGCAACAGACCGATCACTGAAAGATTGTTGTCTATGTACTTAGAGCAAGTGACCTGGATGTCAGAAAATGATGTTTGCCTTTTTGTGCACCCCAACTTTGAAGGGTGCTCATACATTTGTTAAAATAGGTGTCTGCTACATTACAAATTTACTTTAATAGAATTGGTCTAAAAGCACAAAAGTTTTTCCCACAATGTTTTCCTTAAAAGTCCAAAAGAGACCCCACAGACCCATTTTCCCTACCTCCGCGTAAACACTCGTGATTGGGTGCTGAAGACTAAATTTTTTAAGTGGTGAGTTTTATTCTCAGTAATACCAGTACATGTAACTTACAAGAATTATCTTACCTAAAAAAGGCTGCAATTTTTAGATTTCCCTCTGGAAGTGAAAGATTGTGTCAATATGTGAAGGCTGGTGCCCATTTATATCCTTATCATGAGTATAATTACGGTACAATGCACCTTCAAGTGAACTAAAATAGGCGATGTCCAATGTATTGGTTAGAAATTAAACAAAGGAATGATGAAATTTGTCTGGAAGTGGAATTTTAATTGATGACCTTTGGAAGACTTTTTGAAGCATTGCTACAATGTGC